TCTTGAAAATGGCGGGCAATTCTCCTCACGGCGGAGGTTTTCCAGGTGCCGGAGATGATTTTGATCCTACGACCCTACCTCCGAGGACCCGACCTTTCATTCCCGGGAGGTACCGTCCGGCAGCACACGTTCTCCCTCGTGCTGTCTTCCGTCATTTTACCAGCTTTGACGAGCGAGCACCTATGGACCTACTTCTCCGAGAGCCGGAGCAGCACCTTTCTCACGATGCCCGAGAGGTATTCATCTCATCTTCTGTATTTTACATTTCGCACCTTTGCCATGCTTGGACATGCAGTTTAGCTTATGATACAGTACTTTGCTTGCATCCCGAACATATAGTTTCAACACTCGAATTTCTGAACACTCGGCTCATTAATTAATTGCGAACACACAGCCTTAGGAAAAGAAACAGAGAAAACCAAGTCTGGTTCGCAAACCGAGACAAGGCACAGAAAAGGGGTCGGAAGCCCGGAGGCAGGGCTCGCAGCCGCGACTCTGAAACTTCTGAACAAGCACATTATGCAACATCACCAAGCGCTCAATCGGTGACGTCTGAGTCTTAAGGTTGGTCAAAAATGGGGTGTCTACAAACTTTTAGACAAAAAGTTAATTGAAGAAACAAGAAGCGCTCACTCTAGCCCAGCTTTTATGGTAAGAAACCATACTAAAATTAAAAGAGAAAAAGCTCAAATGATAGTTAACTATAAACGGCTAAATGAAAATTTAGAATTTGATTGATATTTTATTCCACGAAAAGATGTTTTGATTAACTTAACCAAAGGATCAAAAAATTTTAGCAAATTTGATTATAAAAGTGGATTTTGAAAAATTCAATTGACTGAAGAGTCAAAAAAATTGACAGCTTTCAGGACACCTAGAAGATATTATCACTGGAATGTTATGCCTTTTGGATTAAATATTGCACCATAGGTATTTCAACGGTGGATGGATATAATTTTTAAAGACCTTAAAGATTGTTGTGTAGTTTATATTGATGATATACTTATCTTCTCTAAAACCAAGAAGGAACATAAGAAACATTTAAAATTACTTTGTGAAAAATTTCAAAAACATGAAATTATTTTGTCTCCAAAAAAGATTGAACAAGAAAAAGAATCAATTGAATTTTTGGGAATAATTTTAGATCAGAAAGGTTTAAAATTACAAGAACATATTTTGTCCAAAGTACGAGATTTTTCAGATACTCTTGAAAATATAACACAATTACAAAGTTTATTAGACATTTTAAATTACAGACGAAATTTTATCAAAAACCTTTCAAAAATAGAAATTCCTTGGTTAACCAAATTAAGGAAAAATGTTATTGTTGAATGGACAGCAGAAGATTGCTTTAATTAAATAAATTAAAGAAAATGTTAAAACTTTACCCGATGTTTATCTTCCTAAAACAGGTGATAAATTAATTCTAGAAACAAATGCCTCAGAAGCATGCTAGAGATGTGTTCTTAAAGCTATACCCAGTAATTTATGGCATGATAAAGAGATACCTTTATCAGAAAATGGGATTAGACCAAGAAAAAATTCAATACCCATAAAATTACAAAAAGAAGAATTAATTTGTGGATATAATTCTGGAATATTTAAACCAAATGAATAGAAATATATTATTTTCGAAAAAGAATTACTTGCAATAAAATTGGCAATAAAGAGTTTTCATATTTATTTAGCCCCAGAAAATTTTATTGTGCGCACTGATAATAAGGTAGGAAGAGATTTCTTGATTAATAAAAAACCTATTGAACAAGGAAGAAGATTAGCTCGATACAATAAAATTTCTGAATATACTTTTGAAGTAGAACATCTTAAAGGTACTAACAATTTTCTTGCAGATTTCTTAGTAGGAATTGTTTCAGAAAATTAAATTACTAAACAAGTAATTTTAATTTTTGCAAAAGATCTCTAGACTAAGAGGAAACAATGGATAAGGGTAAGCAACCCACTCAAGGAGATTAGGTGACAATTGCTAAAAAAGCAATCCCCAGACAAGAAAGAGTTTATGTTGTATTCTCAGGAAAACAACCTGGGATTTACACAGACTGGAATGACGCCAATCAACAAGTTTGCGGATTTTCAAGAGTAAACTATAAATCATATTATAGCATGACCAAAGCTAAAAAAGCTTTTTACAGTGCACCAGCTATGCCGATTTATCAAAAGAATTATTGTCAAATGAGAACTAACCGAGTTCCAACTAATATTCAGACATCTAAACCAGATGAATCTGAGATAAAAGATTTTTTCAACCCTGGTATATCTAGAGAAATTTATACAGAACTCAATGGAGTTTGGAAAACTCACATTGTAAATAACAAAGCGAAATTTCGAAAACACATGGGAGTTCTAGCCAACAAATTAGCTGAGCAAACAGCTAAATGAAAAGATTTGCAAAATTTTGTTTCAATATCTTTAAACAAATGAATTGGAATAAAGATTTTAATTTTGAAAAAATAAACAATTTTCTTCAGCTATCAGACCTCATATCAAATGAGTTTTCTGGTCCAGTTTTTGAACAAATAAAAAAAAATTGTCTTTTTGAAAAAGCAAGAACTTTGCTTCCAAAAGAAATTTTTATGTTAATTAAAAATCGAGTTGAAGATCATTATGATAAGATTAGACAAATCTTAGAACGATCTTATGATAAATTAAATTTGAAAGATGGAATTTCCAAAATAACCATCATGGCAAACCATGACATGTGATTTTTTGAAGATATATATTGGGGAATAACTAATCAAGTTATTTTTCAAATTTTAGATCCAATTCAATGGATAGATTATCCAATGATCATCAAAGCAATGCTCTCATGGATAGTAAAAGGCTTTCGATGGAGCAAATATTTTACTTTCTGGATCTCCAGCACTGTTGGTTGGCAATAACGAGAACATTTTTTCCAACCATACCAGATTTGGTATCTTAAAGAAACTGAAGATTTTGAATTTAAAGATGATTATTTAGATGAAAATTACCGGAGAGAGCGATTGAAAAATATCCAAAAAATTTCTTTGACAGAATATTGGATAGACAATCTAATATATGTTTTACAAGTAGCGTCCAACATCCATGGCTCAGCAAAATTGCCATTCATGGTTACAAATGATAGAATATTATTTGTAACCCATTTTCCCATAACATATCAAAGGTCTCCTATACAAATTAATGAGGCTCTTGACACGTTAATAAATCTCAAAAAGAGAAATAATTTGGATCTTCCGTTGGAACTAGCCATGACTGCGGATGATGTAAAACGTTTCCGGAATGAGCAATACAGTCAGGATCCGGATTCCCTTCCATCAGAGACTGATGAAGAATATCACAATCTCATCAACAGGATAGAAGCATAGTGGACCCCACTATCAAATGCAGTTGTCTCCTGATTGACTCCAACCTTATCCAGGACACGTGAAGCAACTTGCATTATTCGGCGGAAAGTGATCAGTCAAATCTTTTCAGCCGACGCTACACGACAAATTAGCTCAGCCAAAGCTTATCTACAACAGTTTATCTCTTTGAAAACCGGGGAGGGTAGACAGTGTATATAATTGTGTAAATAAATGTAGTGTCAGAATATTACCAATGATGGTAGATTTTTATTTATTATGGTCAAGACTTTTGTGATCCTGTGTTTATTTTTTTGTAGAAATTTTGTCAAAGCCTAAGTTTAGGCTTATAGCCTTTAGTAGAAAGGTGTAAAATTTTGGACGTATTAGTATGCTAAGTTTTTACAATGTAATAATGATAGGTAGACTAAGATGACTTTATAGTTTTGTTTGTATATGTAAATTGTAGTCTATAAATTGGCTTTGAAGCCATCGGAATATACAATGTAAATTCTCTCCAACTTTGTGCTTCCAACTTTGTCTCTAACTTCTCCATCATAATTCTATGCTGCATAACTCCATAATAAAAATAATGAAAAATTCCTTTCCTTTTTTGGCAATGAAGAGGGGTCAATGGGATTTGGGTGAATGAATATGAAAGTAAAATGACCATTACATTATTGGTAATGTCAACACAGATGGTTAGGTTGAGGTAGATGATCCTAATTTGTTATTGGAGAATTTTATTATACGCACTATAATTTTTAGTTACGTTAATTTTTTTAATTATGTCCACAAATAGATGAATAGCACAAAAATTCAGAATGAACTAGGTTAGTCCACAAAAATGGATTTCTTGATTGTCTTTGGACAATTAGATGAACAGCACAGAAATTCTGAAATCGACAAATTCATTTTTGTGAAATCCACAAATAGATGAATAGCACAAAAATTCAGAATGAACTAGGTTAGTCCACAAAAATGGATTTCTTGATTGTCTTTGGACAATTAGATGAACAGCACAGAAATTCTGAAATCGACAAATTCATTTTTGTGAAATCCACAAATAGATGAATAGCACAGAAATTCAGAATGAACTAGGTTAGTCCACAAATTCAGAAATCCATTTGTGGATAATACCATTTTTGAACTAGGTTTCTATAAACATAATTTTGGAGTCTGATAATACCTAGCTGATTTATACATAATTCTCTCTCCGGTCGAGTTCTCAAACATTTCCCTCTATAAAATTATGTATAAATCAACTAGGTTTTTATAAAATTATGTACAAAGATTACCACTACTAAATCAATAAATACATTACTAACAAAACAGCAGCATTCTATGAACTAGATTTCAGAAGAAGAAATAGAGACATACCCTTGGACAAGAAACAGAATGAAGAAGAAGAAACAGAGGCCTCAGAAGAAGAAATGCCGAACAACACAGTCACTTCGGCAGAGTTTTTGCTGGTCGTCGGTGGCCACCCAGGTCGGTGGTCGATCTCAGTGGTATTCTGGTCGATCTCAGTGGTATTCTTCTTCAACGGGCTCCTCTTTCTCTCCTCTCCTCTCTTTTCTTCTTCTATTTCGCGCGTGGTGTTGGTAGATTGACAGTGATCTCAAAACTCAGCTTTATCAATTTCGGGGGATTCGGGGGGTAAGTTTTCGAGCGACGTAGCGGAACTGTATGCTTATATACATTCATTCTAGTTCTATCAATCTGTTTATCTTTGTGAGTCGATTGAAATAAAGTTTACAAATACAGAAATTCGATTATTATTTCCGATTCTATGATCGATTTTGTATTCATATAAGAACTGGATTCGATTTTCTCTATTTCGACGTTTCGTAACCTTCTGTTTGGTTGTCGAGAAAACGAAATGGGAAAAAAAAAAAATTAGAAATCTCAATCGATTTTCCTGATAGCGGTTAGTTTTTTCTGTCCTGCAATTGTACCGATTCAACATCTGAATACATATTTTTTCTTACCTCCTTTCTAAAATGTTCTCAGCAACCAAACAGTACAGCTTCAATTAACATAGCCCTAACTTCTAGTCATTCACCAAAATTAAACTAGATGTTTCATTGGTTAAAATAGGAAGTTTTGTGGTTAGTTTGATCATGCAGTAGTGCATTTCTTAATTATTATTGTTTTTGTTATATTGTAGGGGCTGAAAATCTCTTGAACGAACATAGGTTGTTGTTCTCTTTCTAGCAATGGTTTCTTCGTCTTCATTTTCTACATGTACATGACACGGCTCTGTGTCCGGCCCTAAATCAATGAAGTGTTACAGAGAGTTCATTTTCAATTGTTCGAGTCTCTTCAAACAATTGTCTAACCCTAGGTTAATTGCTCTATGTGCTGACCTAACACAATCAAGGTTTTTGTCTAATGTGAAATCAATAAATTGGGAACAAAGTGGGAGGCTCTTACCAATAAATAGAGTCCCATGTCAAGCACTGAAAGTTGAAAATAAGATTTCATTTTCGGTTGGGAATAAATTTCAACTCGATGATGTGATTGAAGCTCAGCAATTCGATAGAGATATTCTTAGTGCTATTTTTGATGTGGCGCGTGAGATGGAGAAGGTCGAGAAGAACTCAGCTGGCAGCCAAATTCTGAAGGGGTTTTTAATGGCTACCCTCTTTTACGAGCCCTCAACAAGAACTAGGCTTTCTTTCGAGTCTGCTATGAAACGGTTGGGCGGGGAAGTTTTGACAACAGAAAATGCTAGGGAGTTTTCGTCCGCTGCAAAAGGGGAGATGCTTGAAGGTAGTTTTTCAAATGCTTAATTTTAGGTGCTTAATTCGTTGCCTTGTGGTTCTAATTTTGAAGCTTGATTTGCAGATAGTATAAGAACAATTGAAGGGTACTCAGATATAATTGTGATGAGGCACTTTGAAAGTGGTGCTGCCCAAAGAGCAGCAGCCACTGCCAGTATTCCTGTTATTAATGCAGGGGATGGTCCAGGACAGCATCCAACTCAAGTAAGCATGATTTTTGTTTTAAACGCAATCCTCTGGTAGATAATTGAAGTTGTTTGCTTGAATTTGTTCATGAAAACCCTTCAGACTATCTTTTGTTAGATTCTTCTACATATTGAAGTTGAATACTTACATGATATTGAAGTTGTTTGCTTGATGTAGGAGTTTTGGGCTTAAAAAATTGACGTCTGTTTTGTGTGCATTTCTGTATGTTCACTGTCTGTTTGTACAAATGTAACATCCAAACCTTGAGTTAACTTTCAATTGATCTAAGCACTGTTCAATATTTGTGTTTCATCGTCAATCATCCATAACAAATTTTCTTGAATCACCTGTCACAAATCATGATGGATCATGATTTATCCTCTTACTGTTTGTTAAGGGATGCATATAGTACATTAAGTTCTTTTCTGTTTTGAGGTGTGCCTATTCTCTCTTTTACAGACTGGCTTGATTGTGTATGGAATCAATACTTTAGTAGTTTTCTGTGTGGGCAGCAGGCAGGCAGCGGTTCCAAGTCTGCTATGTAAATTCTTGTACTATAATTTTACGACCTAGCAAAAGGGATAAACAGTAACTAATGACCCCATTATAATCTTTTTTTGATAAGCACATTGTAGTTCTTTTGATCAGACTGCATTTCAGTTTTTGAAGTCAGATTTTCCTTTCATTCATTTTTATATATCTCCATTTCCTGAATTTCTGAATTGGTACTATGTATATTCAGATGCGTTTGAATCGCAGCTGCGCAACTGTTTTTTTTTTTTTTGGGATTCCGCTAATGTAGTTAAAACAGTGTAGATGTTTCATTTTGTGTGTGAAGTCCTCAAGGCATGGCTAGTAATCGAAGAGCTACCTTTTTCATTAAAAATTAAAAAAAAAATTAAAAAATAAAAAAAGTTAAAAAATGTTAGATAAAACACTTTAATGCATCATATATTTTCTTCAAGTTATATGTTGTCTGTGTTTTGTATTTTTCTGTAATTCATTTGGAGAATCAGATTTGATATATTCAGGTTTGAATGTATTGTAAAAAGCCCCTTACAATAAATATGATTACAGTAAAAAATATAATGCACCTCACAAAAATTTATTTTTAGGCTACGTTTAGTATTGATTTTCTCCCTCTGTGAGTGTGTGCCTATGGGGCTGTGTGTATTAGTACTTCTGATGAGCTTCAATGTAATATCTTCTTCATGCCATGTCCAGAGTCTACTCGGTTATGAGGTTTTTAAAATGTGTATGGAATAGTTATGTGAAGATCCATGTGATTGGTGAATTTATTTTCGTAGTTTTTGTTTCTAATATCTTCTCTCCTATGTTTATTTATTTGATAATAATAAATTTCATAAGACCCTAATTTTGAAGCACTACTTATGTTTGTGGCCTTGAGACAGGCTCTTCTAGATGTATACACAATTGAAAGAGAGATAGGAAAGCTAGATGGCATTAAAGTTGGACTTGTTGGAGATCTAGCTAATGGAAGGACAGTCCGATCACTTGCATATTTGCTCTCTTAAGTATCAGGATGTGAAGATCTACTTTGTGTCACCCGAAGTGGTAAAAATGAAGTTATGAAAAGAAAACAAGTTTCTATTTCTCTAACCAGCATTCTTTTTAACAATCCGAACTCTTTTTTTTTTTTATGATCCGCCGGAATCAGATACAGATTTCACCGGCGACATAGCCCACAACAGATTCAGCTTCAGATTCAACATAGCCTACACAATCTACTTCATTCTCGGCTGCGCCTTCCTCCTCCCCTGGAACGCCTTCATCACCGCCGTCGATATTATAAGTTGCATATTTTTTTGCCCTCTCATTTCAGGATGACATAAAAGAGTATTTGCATCAAAGGGAGTAGAGTGGGAAGAAAGCAATGAACTAATGGAAGTTGCTTCTAAATGTGATGTGGTGTATCAAACCTGCATTCAGAGAGAGAGGTTTGGAGAGAGAATCGATCTTTATGAAGAAGCCCGAGGCAAGTACATTGTAGATCGGGCTGTCTTGGCTGCAATGCAAAAGCATGCTGTGGTGATGCATCCTCTCCCAAGGCTTGATGAGGTTAGCTAGCTTTTCCGCTTTGCTCTTGATTCTGGCATGAGCTTTATGAGGATAATATGTTTCCGTGCAATGACTAATCATTTGTTATTTTTAATGATTCATGATGCTAATGCAGATAACTGTGGATGTTGATGCGGATCCAAGGGCTGCTTACTTTAGACAAGCAAAGAATGGTCTTTACATTCGGATGGCTCTCTTGAAGCTTCTACTTGTTGGTTGGTGAATAATATATGATCTCTGTCGTCAGATTTTGATGCATAATGCTCTCGTTACATTTGTTAATATAATTGTTATAATTGTTAATTGAATAGCTTTAGCTTTAGTATATAAATTGTATAGCTTTAGCTTTATTCCTTTTTTTGCTTTCGGTGATAGTGGGTCTTTGTTTGGTATCCAATGTTCCATTCTTCTCTCTATAAAGAGAGAGTTCCTTCTCTTTGTAATTACAACAAACAATACAATCAATAATAATACATCAGTATTTTACATGGTATCAGAGCTTGGTTAAGAACTTAGTAATTCTGCTTCACCGGCGGGCGGCAGCCTCGCCTTGGCCGTCCGCCGGACAAACCCAAATTTCCTTAATTTCTTCTTCAATGGCAGATTCTTCAACAACACTTCACTATCACATCACCAGATCCGGTCACAGTCGGAGGACCATCACCGTCTACGCCGACCACGCCACCTGTCACCACTTCACTACCACTCCTGCTAGCTCACCACCGACGCAGATCTCCGCCTTCTCCGTCGAACACTCACGCTATGTCGTACGTCGACGCTGACTAACTTCGCAAACACATAACACACCACACCCGGCATCAACCTCTCAGCACCTCTTTCTCTGCAACTCCCTCTCTCTAGCTCTCTCTCTCGGCAGAGGGTTGGAGTACAAAAAAAAAAAAAAAAAAAAAAAAAAAAAAAAAAAAAAAAACGACGACTGCCATACCCACACAGGTACATGGGACAGCACCCATTGAGACATGCATCCTCTGTTTCCACATGCCACTCCCAATCACCCGAATAACACAACCCCGCACGTCGGAGTCCGATGATCGGACCCATCTCCGGCGATGATCCGCCGGAATCAGATACAGATTTCACCGGCGACATAGCCCACAACAGATTCAGCTTCCGATTCAACATAGCCTACACAATCTACTTCATTCTCGGCTGCGCCTTCCTCCTCCCCTGGAACGCCTTCATCACCGCCGTCGACTACTTCTCCTCCCTCTACCCGGCCGCCTCCGTCGACCGTGTCTTCGCCGTCGTCTACAAACCCCTCGGCAAAATACATTTTCACATCACTTTTGAAAACACTTTTCAGGTGAGATTTGAATTTTGAAATTTGGCCTACCCGGACGTCCAGTCGATTGATCGGAACAATGTTCGTGTATTTTTTGTGACAATTGGCACCTGTTATTTTTTTTATATTTTAAATAAAAATATTTTTTGAATTTTTTAAAAAATTTTATGAGCTTTTAATAGAATTTTAAATTGTATGTTTGTTTATGAGTTGTAAATTTTTTAATCAAATATCATATGTCACATCAAAAATAACAAATTCAATTCAAAACTCTTTTCAAAACTGATAACCAAATAAATTTTCCACACTCAAATCATAAATCTAAAACTTACAAACTCAAAATATAACTCTATACTCAAATTATATTTATAAAACGCTACCAAATGCTACCAAATACTTCCAATACCCTTGTTCATTTTTATTTGTTATAATATTGGGCTGCATATTGAGAACGCCCACTACAAGAAGTTGGGTCTTAAATGACAAAAAATTTTTGTCTCCAAAGAGCTAATTTCGTCACTATAGATATTTGTGAGGAAATATTTTCGTCACCAGTTTCGTCATTGAATGTTTGTCACTAAAAGCCAACGTGACGAAAAATAATTTCGTCACCAATGAAATTACTTCAGTGACGAAATTTTTTGTCACCAATAAAACAACA